ATAATTTCTTATAAAATTTCAACTTATACACTTAGATCTCTTTTTTTGCGGTTCTTTTTTATGGGGTTTTGAATTTATACGGGGTTTCAAACACTTTTTTCGCTGTAGCGATTTTGCTTTTTTGAGAGCTTATATTACATTTTTTCAAGGTGTAAGGGGCAATGGTTTTGATAAATAATTTTTCTTTGTATTCCTACATACAAATATTTACTAAGTAATTCGGCTAAGTAACTTTGTTACATATGTATAAATGAGAATATAATATTTATAAAAAATAACTATTTTGTCTTTCATTTCATAAATGAGTAGGACATTAGCATTTTCAAATGAATATTCCTGGTTTAGTTCCCATACATATGTATGTATGTAGAAAATACAAGCTACTATTTGAGGTGTGAAACAGTATTTAATAATTAAGGCTGGTCGACATACACTTTTTCGCGTTGACTTTGTAGTTGGCGTTGGCTTGACAGAACGCACATTAAAAATATGCGTTCTACAATGAAGCTTGGCAGAGACTACTTTGGCCACTAAATTAACATACTAACGAGAGATAAATTAATATTTCATATCAATAATTGCATGAAAAATTATATTTCTTGCCCTCATTTGACTGAAAGGAAAAAACATTTCAGATAATTTTATTTATTTATTTGCAAATGCTGGCGACCGATGCAGCGATCTTTCTGCTTTGTGTTGGCCTTAGCATTGCCAAATTTTGGCTATGTGGACGGCTGCTTTAAAATTCAACGTATGTGAACTGGCCTCTATTCTTTGTTTACGCAAATTTTTCCATGGCTACATATCCATGCATACATACATATGTACATAGGTCCTTGAACAACAGGCCAGAAATAAATTTTTTCACCAAGGATTACATATATTTCATTCAGGTATACAGCATAACTGCTACAAGTAGCAAACTATTTTGGGGTGTTAGCAAGTGCTTACTTGTTTTTTGTTTCTGCGGCACAGACGATTATAATATCTTCGTTACTTACTTTTCTCTGTAAAGACAAAATACATGCATATGTACACATACATAAATACATACATACATAAAAACGTACATACATACATATATCCCTACAAGACAGCTGAGTATCATATGAGTGCTCATATTATCATTATCAGTAATTGCAAAAGTGCTTATTAAAGTATTCATTTTTGTTCAGGCCATG